CTGCCCAAACTGACATTCTCCTCCTGGCCTCTGACTTTGTGCTCATCAAAATGGGCACAAGGCTCTTGGTATTCAAGGCCACGGACCCCACCGCTGTTGGAATATGTAAGAATGAACAGAGGTCTGGGATGACCATACTTTAGTGAGAAGTGGTCCAGCCAGAGCAGGCATTCTCCTTCAAACGTGTTTTCCCCCCACGTCCTGGCAGCCTAGAAAGCTAGATAAAGGGTCTGGCCAGAGCAGGTATTGTCCTTTCCGATATAGAAACCTGGGAAGAGCGATGCATGGAACAGGGTCTTCTTTGCTTTCCCTCATGTTATTCTCACTTGCTCTGAAAAAAGACTTTCTAGGTCCTATCCCCTGTAATCTCTGTAACCTGCTGGCTTGGGAAGTATGTTGTGTACAAAAGTGCTGATGTAACTGAAAATCCTGTAAACAGGAGCAGGTATAATAATATTCACCATCTGCCTATTAATATTCATGTCTAGGAGCTAACATCACTAAACGAGGATTCGGGGGAAGCAGTGACAGACGTGTGAATTCACATACTAAAATGGATAAAGGAGAGCACAGATGCCAAATCATCGCTCACTCGGAACGATGTGTCCAGGCTCCGAGGGGAACGACTATCTCCAATAAAAAGGTCCTATTACTCCATCTCCTCCTGGGCTGCCTCTGACTTCTCTGACATGCACATTCATTCCTCAGCGGGAGCCCGGGCAGCCCTGCCCAGTTACATTTACCCTCTGGCCACAGCATGAACCAGCAAGAGAGAGGCTGACGCCAGAAGAACCCCCAGCTGCTTAGCCTGTGACCCCAAGGTTGTCCAGTCCTGCCCTGGTCTAAACTGTGACCGGTGTGAATTTCTTACCCAGTTTGCACCTCCCTCAGTGTGGAGAGGACAACGCACACTTGTGAGAGCAGAGCTGAGATCCCCCTGCTCCCCCAGACTGCACTGAAAGGCATGCTAGGTGTAGAATAAAACATTAAACACGGTTATTCATGGCATGACGTTTATCTCTTTGCTATCTCTTGTAATCAGCGTTATCCACCCAAAGAGATTCAAATGCTGCCCAGCTGCTTAGCAGGAAGCCCACAGTGCCTCAGGGGAGCAGCATGTTTCCTATTGGTGGTGCACATCTGCACATCTGCACAACGTTTATTCTGCACACGGAAGGGAAAAACGAGAGGGAACATTGCCTGTAATCACTTAGAATGTAATCACATTGCCTAGCAAACAACAAAAAATGAAAACTAAGCTCCACGCATTGGCTAGGGTCCCATACACAGGCCAGAACCCCCTTTTGCCTGGATCTAGCGGTTCCCCCGTTTCAGGCTTCTTTCCTCACATGTTTCCTGGAGTCTTCTTCTGTGGAAAGGGAAGCGGCACTGATGAGGTCACTCTGTGCTGTGACATGTTTGGGAAAGGGACTTATGGACATAAATCTACGTCGCTCAAAGGTGCTTGGGACAAATGGCCTCATGTAACCCATCAACCTTCGTGTCCTAATCCGCCGGGGCTGTGTATCTGAGTTGGGAACCGGGGTGTCCTTTTTGTGTGTAAGGTTGGGTATATGGCCTGTAGAATGCTTTGTGGTTTTAAATGTGCAAAGGAACACCATTGGGGGTTACCCTCAATGCTTAGCTATCCAGCTGTTTCCTGGGACCGGCCAGGAAACTTCCCACGTAGAGGTGCAATCTGTGAAACAGTGGGAAGCTTAGCAGGAAGTGTCTTTAGCCAGCCTGGCACAGCCAGCAGGGGATTACTAAAGACCCCAGGGAAAAGGAGACTACCCTGCTTTGGAGGGTTACCTGGCATAAGGACAGTTTTAGGGTGAGTTTGTGCAGAGGTTTTAGAGGAGAATTAGTGAAGCATTTTCTGTTATTTTAAATTTGTAACCTACTTTGCTCAGCCTGTTCTCACTTATAACCACTTCAGTCCTACAGCTGGTATTTCATAAAATCCCTTTTATTTCTTATCAAGCCCAGTGCAAATAATTGTTACGTGAGGGAGCAACCAGTGGGCACATTGCTCCGTTCACTGCTAAAGGGGGCGGATCCAAACAATTCGTTGGGGGTTTGATCCCCTTTGGGGAGTGGCATCTGGGGAAGCTGGGCCCAAAACTGAATTTTCCTTCGACCTGAAGAGGTTCAGTGTCTGTGCTGCTTCTCGGGGGGCAGGATCTTAGCTTGGGGCCTTGGCTGCGCCGGGACAGGGAGTTGGCGCAGTAGGACCAACATTGGGGTGTCTCCTGAAGCCTGTTTCTTGCCCTAATTCCTTGTTCGCCTGATGGCCCTTCCCAGCCGACTACCTAGACTGAAGGGCCCATTCCCAGCTGGGACTCCATTTGAAATACAGAGACCCAGTCAATGCTCACAGCGTCAGCTACAAACGCTCCATGCACACAGACAGGACCATCATAATCAGAACTGTCCAGTGGCGTCTCGCATACCTTGCACGGAATGTATCACAATTGTGTTATCACCGTGCCACAGTAAGATCACTTTGGGCACAGGGGCACACAGCGATCAATGTACCAGTGAAATGCCTCAAGTTACACAAGAGCTGGAAACCGCCCTAAGGGAAGGTGGTGACATCCCGGCTGCAGTTCTGCAGCTGGCTAGGGCAAAGAGACCCTGGAGCCTGCCCCAGAGCACCCAGGGCCAGGAATATTGGCCTGGGACCCACAATCACAACGAAAAATAACATTTTACCAACACTGTCCACCTGTCCCGGTACACACGAATCCGAGCCCCTACTGCCTCCAGCAGTGCCAATACTCCCTGCCTGTTACCGCAACCCCCAGCTCTGCCTGTCCCTGTACACCCTGCCCTGTTCCACGATCTTCAACGCTACCCGCCTGCCCCCGGGATCTCCAGCCCTACCGCACATTTATACCCCTTAGCTAGGAACAGGCCCGGTGCCAGGCCACACAGCAACAGCTACAGGAACATCTCCCCTGAAGTGGGAAGGGGGGAGACCAGATGGAAAAGCCGTTTGGGGGCGAAGGGAACCCCAGAAGCAGGAGCTCAGCCTGGATGGGGAAGGCGAAAGGGACAGACTCAGAACGACACAGAGCAGCCCCGGACAGACCGTACTGAGCCTGCGCTTCTGGGCCGGCAATTGCTGACGTGAGCATCAGGCTGCCGGGGGGTTGCTTGCGAGGGGAGGAATGGTCTGCATGAGAGATGATATCAGTGACTATTTGCTACTAGTGCAGCCCCCCACTATACAGCCTGAGACACCCCCTGGCCCAGGGGGCCTAGTTACGGCTCTCCTCTGCTGTGCCCTAGGCAGGACGCCCATTCCCTGTTTCCCCCAGTTCCACGACTCCTCCCCACGGCACACACAGGGGGTGTCTAGACAGCGGCGCTAGTTCAGGATACTTCCAGTACCACCCCCCCGCACCGCCATTCCGACGTCCCTGGAAACCGCGTTTCACGAGGATGTTTCGGAACAGCACTGCGTTTCAAAATACACTGGAAATAAGAGACACCATTTGCACAGCTCGATTTGTCTAGTTTATTTCAAGCTACGAGTGCAGTGCAGATGCACCCACACTGTGCGTTCCTGGACCGACTGATTTCCTCCAATCCTGCTTTTCTTTCTATTATTTTTGGAGTGTTTCTCATCCTCTCCAGACCTAAAGACTCAGGGCACAAGGAGAACAGACCCCTCTATCCCCCTTACAAATATTACTGTCCTGATTGTGCTGCACCTCTAAAGCTAGGTGTTTGCAATTTCAGCTACTTCTTCTGTCCGTTCATCTTTGATCCGAAGGAGCCGACTGGGCTTGGAGGCCAGGGCATGACTCAAGCGATCGTCGCTGGGGGCTCATGGCGAGATGATATCTGACCACTTATTTAAGTCCCCACGGGTGTATTTTGGGTGCACTCCGGGCTGTGTTGGGAGTTTTTATGCTGATCTCAAAGGGACCAGATTCACCCTCAGCACCAACCTTTCTGTTCTGTTAAGGGGCTCAAAGTGCCTGAAAGAAGCCCCCAGTTCATGTGGTGTTCGGAGGTTGGGTGTGAAAGGCGGGGAGTTCCCACACAGGCCCCGACTCTGATCTAAGGTAGACCAGTGTGACTCTGGAGTGACCCGCCG